CTTCTTCTTCTTCTTCAGATCGTTGTTTCAACTTCAGCGTTTTCAAGTCATGAAGCATACGATCCCACAATACACAAGGAACCACATAAGCTGTTTTTGATCGATCCGTCATCCTAACTACAAGGYAGTGCCTACAACTTTTTYCCCACGAGTCATCAAGTAGACAGGCCTCCCCTTTATAGTCACCACAGCATTTGTTCCACCTCCTCCACGCTGACGGCGTTTTAGTTTGAAAGGTCGTCGGTAAGGAAACGGTTTGCCTACGGATTGGTTTGGTAATTGATCAAAACGAGTGTGAAATGGTTGTTCTACAGGGCCATAGTCTGGATAAGCAGGACCCAAAACACCCCGAAGCTCTCGTTTTCCTCCCAACTGTGTTTTTTTGCGTCTTGATCTACGTTTCTTGGCCATTCAGTAATTGATTGAGTTCGTCCAAAAGGTCTTGGTCTTCTTTTAACAATGGTTCAGACAGTAAAGAAGGCTCTTGATATGCTGGTTGTTTTGGACGTGATGGTTTCCTACTCGAGACTTTGTCTACGGCCATTTGAGCTCCTGTACTTATACCCTGATGTAAAACCTTTTGCCCCACTTTTTTAAGGGCAGGAACGGCTGCTTTAGCCATGGCTTTAAACACTTGACCTGCTAGTACAGCTCGCGACCCCCCTCGCTGAGATAAAGCACGACGTAGTGCTTTAGGAGACTGGTKACGAAACGCTACATTGGTTAACAAGCGCTTGGCATTGCGAGGGAGTTTGGTTTCCATCTTGATCTCTCCATTCATCACTTTGCGTGTCATTTGTTGTAAAGCACTTAATTGTTCGTCATTGCATTCTCGAATTAAAGGAGTAGCTTGAGACGGATGGCAAGCAGCTAGAGCTTGTACAAAACTACGCCCATCCGTCATTGTTTAAATCTTGATTTCACTGAATGTTGTACTCAAAAATCACTTTCTCTTTATACGTTTGGCATGTCGTAAAAATTTCAAGTATGCTTCTATCCCTCGATAAATGTCATTCCCTTGCTCTTCTTCYTTTTCTTCTCTTTGTTTGTTTTCCGATGGACTGATGGCTTGGGATTCCCTTTCTTGACCCTCCTTTTGCATTGGATAGGCTAGTTTATTGGGATAGTCGTTGCTCCGGCTGTTGCCAACGAGTTTCTGGTTTTGTTCTCTTTTTTTAAGAATGGCCTGAATTTTGTCGATTTCGTGGCTGGCTCTAGCGTGGTCGGTCATGGAATAAATTGTGTTTTTACGCACGTTGCTCAATTCCTGGTGGCGCGTTTGTAATTCCGCATCACTCATTGTGTTTCGAATAGTATTGGAAAGGGGTCTAAGTTTGAGTAAATGAAATAGTTTTTGTAGCTTGTCATCAATAACATGGAGTTGGGCTTTATACTGCTTGTTGATTCCTTTTAATCTTGATTGCGACTTTAAGTTTTTCTTTCGTTTCTTTAAACTTTTCCAATATTGAACTAAT